GAAAAACCACAAAGGACCTCCAATAGGTTTTATGGAGCAGTATCGGCTCGAGCACTCAGCTCTGTAATTGTGCTGCAGCAGGTAATGAGAAAATTGGTCACAAGTAGTGCTCCCTGCAGATGTAACCCGCAACATACAATTTTACACAGCATGTGCCGGATCTACTGTTATTTGTTCGAGCGAAGCTGTTTGAATGTTGGTGCAGCTTTCATGGGGTCAAACGTGCACAGTTTAGAGCCTACTTCAATTTAGAGAATTAATTCTGTCAGAGAAAATACACACGCAGATTCAAGAGTTTAGAAAACAGCCCAGAAAAACTGTATGAGGTTCAATTCTTTGGATTTTTTGTATAAGGATGTAGCAATAGTGGGAAACATACTAGTGAAAGTGGAAACTGAAACCCTCTCAGATGTGATTATCTCTCCTGATTAATTCAGACTAATTATTGGGCTATGGGACAAAAACATGAACTTCAACTCAGCTGCTGAAAGTTAAATACCTGCAAAATTGAAGGTTAATTGTCCAGTTTTTATCTTGGTATTTCTTGTCAAAAATGTTAAACTTTTTGTGGGCTGCAAAAGTTTTGCTGAAGTGCTTGGTTTTTTTTTCTGTTTTGCTGCTTTAAAGCCTGGAATTTAAATAGATTTTTTAAGTTTGATTGTAATAATYAACTAGAACAAAGTACTCCTGATTACTGAAGTTAAAATGGGTGGGAACATTTGTTTTAGGTGATTCTACAAGATAAAAAAAAACGGAAAAAAGATATGTACACCCTTTATCTTTGTACCCCCATTCAGTACATTCAAAAGCCTTGGAACTGGTTAAATAAGATCAATCTGTAAGCAAAATAAAGTCAAATGACCAGTGACCTCTCCACACAGGTCAGAGACAAAGTTGTGGAGAACCAAAGATCAGAGTTGAACATCTCTAAACATTTAATGAAGCACAAATAAATCCTTTATTGCAAATTAGCATAAAGGAAAATAATGCTGACAGACATGTTGCCAAGAAAGGAACAGTCACCAAAACTCATGGACCGGGCAAGGAGGGCATTAATCAGATGCCACCTTTCCCCAAGTGCCTGTTCGGCTTGGCTCTGCATGCTTCCAATATGTTTCCATTATCCAGAATTTGTAGAACTGGACCCCTTTTTGGTACCTATTTTGTTGTGGTTCCAAGCGACCCTTTGCTGGCTTGAAAATGTGACGTCAGAACACTGTCAGTCACTGACTGGAGGGTGAAGTCACTGTTTGTGTCCTATAAACAATTGCTTAACAGTTCATAATTGCACTTACCAAAGTCATGCTGCTGAAATTATATTGCAACAACAAAGATTCATAGGGACCAAAATATTCTAATTGTTATGCTTTCAGAAAAAAAACTTCTTTATAATTTAAGACCAAAGTTAAACTGAATGTTTTCAAATCTACAGCTGCTTGAAGCTTCGTTTCTGTGATGACAACACTGTGAGATTTATTTTGCAAATTTAACGAGACATTTTTAAAACATCTTTATTATCCAACATCTTGAAGTTCTGCAACCACTGTGTGTTTGTAAAACCAGGAACAATAACATCCCACTACCATGTCCTCCATTGTTTTGATCAGGGTCTTCTTCTTCTGCTATGCTTAATGGTGACTGGCAAATAACTTAATGGAGTATTACCACCACCAGCTGGTAAAGGCGGTCCCAATTTTCAGACTATGGGACCGCCCAACCTTACAAATAACCCACAACAACTGTAACTAAAGTGTATTGGAAAACCACCCATAGCATTCTGAACAGAGCTATGCCAAGTCAGACTGTGCTGTAGAGGCGCTAGAGGAAAAGGAGCGATAACCTTGACGGTGATGGGCATATGGCCCTGTGTCAAAGGACCACTATAATACCCCTTTTCCACTAGTGCCTCTACTGCACAGTTCGACTTGGTTCTCCACTGTTCCAAGGCTTTTCCACTAGCAAGAATTTGTGGAACCAGCCCCTTTTTCAGAACATACTTTGCTATGGTTTCAAGTGTACCATGCTGGCCTGAAAACGTAACGTCTGAAGACTGTCGGTCACTGATTGGTTAGAGGGTGGAGTTGCTGGTTGCGTCACAAGAGCTACTCTCACAACAATCTGATTTGCCATTTGCAACAACAGCACTGCCATGTCCTCCATTGTTGTGTTTGTGTATCTTTTCAGGGTCTTCTTCTATTATGTTTAACTGTTTAACTGCCACCAGATGGTAAGGCATGTTGTGTCAGTTTGCAGACTCTGGGACTGCCCAACTTTATGATGATGGTTGAAGGCGAAACAGTTCAGATTAGTGGCTGAGCGAGGTAACTTCAGGCTTAGTTTGATATATTCCCAATCACAAAGCTAGTTCCCATCACCATAAACTGCTGCAGGACAAAACACAACGTTTCTCACACTGACGGGGTGGCGCTTTTTATTGGTTGAACTCACCAAATCATTCTCAGATGCAGGTGTGAAGCTGCACTATGACCACAGTGAGTTTACAGTTATCACTTTCAAAAATTGGTGACAATCCTAAAATACTTTGTTGTAAATCATTTTCCTACTGATACTGAAGCCTAGCTCTGATGTCCATTTGCTGTTGTGTCACAAGGACATATTTCTGACTGAAGTGATCCCCGCAGCAATCTAACACTTGAAAGAACTGTCTTTGAGAACAGAGGTGGAGGGTAGTCACAAAGACAAGTGTCCTAGTGATGATGAGCTCGCGAGTTTCCAGTGCCACTTGAACTGAAATAGTCGTGCTCAACGAGGAACGGGTTTCAAGACTTTTTTTTGTACTTCAGAGAGACTATCATGCTGAAGTTGGAGTACTTGCTGGTGTGTCATTGTATGTGAGAACAGGGCCATGATGGAATTTACAGGACTTGAGGCACAGACATTCTATACAGCATCAGAATTTGTTTATTAATGTTTTTATTCACCTGCCACCAAGGTGGGCAATCATGTAGTTGCCTAAGCTGTGGTTTGGTAGTATATCGCAAAAATCAACCCTAACATGTCCTCTCAGTGCCAACAGATTGCATGATTGTTTTTCAAACTTAAATGTGCATTTCTTGTAGGATTGCTACTTGTAATTCCTTAAAACTTTATTGTTGAACCAAATTTTCTCCTGAGGATTATTAAAAAAGTCATGTCACTGATAAAATATTAAATTATTGGCAGCAAAATAAAGAATAAAAAACCGAAGTCATGTCAAACAACAAAAATTATTACAAAATAGAAACTATTAATTTAAATAGGGTTTTTAAAAAAATAAATTATCTAGGACTAATGAGTTATAAGAAATGGTTGAAACAAGTTTTAGGAAGAAAAAAACCTGCAGAATATACAATGAAAAGAATTTTGTCCCATTGTAACTATTTTCACACTTTGATATTATTTAAATAAAAAAGGACATAAAACACTCCCAAAATATTCTAAATTTACATTTCAAAGTTTTTTAACACCACAAACAATAAATTAGAAATTAATTAATTAATTAATTGTTGGGTCAGTAAAATTATCCAACAAAACCCCGTTTTTATAATAAGTTTATTATAACCTTTTGACTGCCAAACGCATTATTAAATACAGTATATCGTAGCCATGGAGAATGAGATGTTCATGAACAAAAAACTTAGTATTTATAGGTTTTTAACACACTCAACAAAAAACTAAAAAGTTAGAGGAAAATCACAAGAGCTGAAAAAGCAGTGGTGGTTGTAGGGTGTGTCACTGGATTAAAGTATCTTGCCACATTTGAAGCCAATGTATTTCAAATATTAATGATTATATTTTTGCACATTTTGCACTGAGTTGAAATTCTAGGACAAAGTCACAGGGATTATAATCTTTACTTGTATTTACTAATTTAGAATTTGCACACACCTGTAGTAAATTTAAAAATGGTTTTTAGCCACCATTTAACCTTAAAACCATATCAGATAAGAGTTTTGTGACCAACAACCATCGATGTGTCAATAACAATTTTTTTTGATTTGATAAAAATAACTGATGTAATACATGTCAACCCCTTTGAATGTTTACCTCTATCTTTATCCTCAAAAATCTATAATTGTCATAAAAAATCGAAATAATTCTGACACAATACCATGGAGTGGGGTGGGGGTGGAGGGACAAGTGAACTGTCGGCTGTGTGGAAAGACAGAGCGTGGGGCGGAAATAGCAGCACCTGCAGTTTAGAGGAGCAGAGAGAGGGGGACGGGGAGAGGTGGAGAACCTACAGCGGGTAAAATAAGTATTGAACACGCCACCATTTTTCTCAGTAAATATATTACTAGAGGTGCTAATGACATGAAATTTTCACCAGATGTTGGTATCAACCCAAGTGATCCATACATACAAAGAAATCAAACCATAAATGTCCAGAAATGACGTTATTTTTAATAATGTGGAATGGCACAGGGAAAAAGTAGAACACACGAAGAAAGGGAGGTGTAAAAAGGCATGGAAAGCCAAAACACCAGCTGAACTCTCTCAGTAATTAGAAA